CAACTAGCTTGTACTACAAATTTGACAAAGCCTGAAAATAGAGTTCTGCAATATTCTTTTTGCTACCATATTTCTTCTGCTACTTGTTAAAAGCCATGGTAATTAGGCTTTTACATCTATAGTTTATTTACAATTTTCGAGCCATAGTTACCGGGAAAAAACAAAAATAACCAAGCCCTTACTTTTAATACGTAACAGAAGAACTATTCCATACTGTTAGAGATAAAGCATGCATTGACTGAGCATACATTCATGTTATCTTTTGTGTTACTATGTATTTTGCTTTGTTGTACTGGTTATTAGGTGAATTATACCAGCTGTCATGAGGTACCTTTATGCATGTTAAGGTGGACAACACTTGTCCATTTTGTAGATAAGTGTTGATTATATGATGCTTGTATATATGTCAAGTTTGCTAACTAATGAAGTATCTTTCTCCATCTGCTGCTTTGTTTTCTTCTTCTGCTCTTCTTCAACACAGACACCAAGATTACTTTTTCATTTTCTTTTACTTTCATATCATGGTATCAGAGCATATAGTCGATCTTTGTACTTGTTAAAACTTCTTTTTCGTTTATCAAGAGCTTATTCCTAAACACAATGTCAGCCTCAATTGTCACACAGTAAACAACACCCATTTTTGATGGCTCTAACTATCCTGTTTAGGCCATTAGAATGAAAGCATTTCTTAGAAGAGTCAATCTATGGAATGTAGTAGAAAATGAGACAGAAGTACCAGCATTGAGAGATAATGCCACACTACCACAGGTGAAGCAACATGAAGAGGATGTAGCAAAGACATAGTGAGCTTTATCCTTTATACACTCTGCTGTTACAAAGTCTATTTTCAGTCGAATCATGGGATGTGAGACAGCAAAACAAGCCTGGAATAAACTTGAAGAGGAGTTTTTAGGGTATGCCAGAAACAAGCAGATTCGACTTCAGAACCTTAGAAGGCAATATGAATTACTAAGGATGAAAGAAAGTCAAATGGTACAGGAGTTCATTGATGCTGTGATGAAGGTTGTAAATCAAATTCGATTGTTGGGAGAAACTTTATCTGATGCTAAGGTTGTGGAGAAAGTTCTTATAAGTTTGCCTGAAAGGTTTGATGCTATTGCATCATCCCTGGAACAGGTAAAAGACATTTTTTAACTCACCATATCAGATTTGGTAAACATTTTAGAAGTTGATGAACAAAAGAGAGCTGCCAGAGAGAATGAAAAAACTGACCTTGCCTTTACTACTCGAATGAAAGGCAAGGCACATGCAGTTGCCTCAGCAAAGAAAAATGTAAGTGAGATAAAAGATAAGGAGAAAGGAAGTACTCAAGGTCGAAAAGGTTAATACTGAAGGACCAGATTCTCTATTTGTCCTCATTGCAAAACGAGGAGTCATATTAAGGCATATTGCTGGTTCAGGCTTGATGCAAAGTGTAATGCATGCAAACAATTAGGCCATGTAGAGAGGGTTTGCAAAAACAAATCTAATGCAAATGAGAAGATCACAAATGTAGCTAAGAATGTTGAATATTCAGAAGAGCAACTCTTCGTGGCTACTTACAGCAATATGACAGATGAAGCATAGTGGCACCTCAAATCATGTGACACCAAATTCATTGTTATTCACTCAACTTGATACATGTTATCATTTTAGAGTGAAGATTGGAAATGGAATGTACTTGAATGCTGTTGGTAGAGGAACAGTGGGCAGACAAACTCCATCTGGTCAGAGGTATGTTGATGATGTTCTTTTAGTTCCAGACATAGCACAGAACTTACTTAGTGTAGGACAGATGATGGAAAAACATTATACACTGATGTTTAAAGATAGTTTTTGCACTATTTATGATCCATCAGGAGATCTATTGATGAATGTGCCAATAAGAAATAGGTGTTCTCATGTTAATTTAAATGACACACCCATGAAAATTAGCTCGAGCAACATTGATATATCTTCACTTTGGCACAAGAGATTTGGCCATTGTAGCTACAATTATCTGAATCAACTATATTCTCTGAAGTTAGTTGAGAGGCTACCTAAGCTAAGCATATCATCATCAGTTTGTAGTGTCTGCAAGTCTGGCAAACAGACCAGTAAGCCATATCCCTCTGCTAGCTTGACAAGATCAAAAAGTAGGCTCAATTTGATCCACTCAGACATTATGGGACCCATGAGCCAAGAATCTCTAAGTGGCAGTAGGTATTTTATAATCTTTGTTGATGATTTTAGTAGAATGACCTAGATCTACTTTCTTGAATTTAAGCATGAAGCCTTTGAAATGTTTGTTAAATTTAAGGCCAAGGTTGAAAAGGAGACTGGTTTGAAAGTGAAATGTTTAAGATCAGAAAATGGTGGGGAATATACCTCATCACAATTTGAGAATTACCTTGAAGTTGAAGGGATCCAGCATTAACTCACAGTTCCTCACTCACCTCAGCATAATGGAGTGAGTGAAAGAAAGAACAGGTCAATACTAGATATGGGGAGATGTTTGTTATTTGAAAAAAATCTTCTTAAGAAATTTTGGGCAGAAGCTTGCAACACAGCTGTTTATCTACTCAACAAGTTACGTACAAAGGCTTTGTCAAGAACAACCCCTTATGAAGCTTGGTACAATAGTAAGCCTTTAGTTGATCATTTCAAGGTATTTGGAAGTCTCTGCTATCATGAAGTTCCTAAGCCTTACAAAACCAAGCTTGATTCCAGATCCGAGACACCAATTTTCATTGGCTACAGTGAGCAGTTCAAAAGGTACAAACTCTATCTTGTAAAATCACATAAAGTCATTGTATCCAGGAATGTAATCTTTGATGAAACTGCAAGATGGAATTAGAGGAAAATTGAATTAGAAGCAGTGGGGTCTCCATTCAAAATTGAACTTCATGAACCTATTGAAACTGAAGCTGTAAATCAGATGCCAGATGCAGATGATGATAAGCAATATGCAGTGAGAGGAACTTGAAGCCTTGATGTTATTTATCACAAAAGTTTGATGCTTATATTAGAACCAGACTCTTATCAAGCTGCTGCAAAATCAAAAGAATGGAATGCTACAATGAAAAAAGAAATTAGGATAATTAATCAAAACAATACTTGGACACTTGTTGACAGACTTGAAAAACAACATGTGATTGGAGTGAAGTGGATCTTCAGAAAGAAACTTAACTCTGATGGTACCTTAAACAAGTGCAAGGCAAGACTTGCTGCCAAAGGTTATTCTCAGCTACCAGGTGTTGATTTCCTACATACTTTTACACCAGTAGCTAGGTATGAAACCATTCGATTGTTATTGGCTATTTAAGCTACATTTGGTCAGAAAGTATATCATTTTGATGTTAAGTCAGTCTTCCTAAATGGTACACTATAAGAGGAGGTTTATGTTGAGCAATCAGAAGGATTCAAAATTGAATCACAAACTGATAAAGTTTATAGGTTGCATAAGGCTTTGTATGGATTGAAGCAGGCTCTTCGCACCCAGAACAGCAAGATTGATGTTTATTTACAAAGTCTTGGATTTGAGAAGAGTTCTAATGAAGCTACTCTGTATTACTTCACTCAAAAGGCCAAGCTCAAGTAATCATTTCATTATATGTTGATGACTTGTTGATTACTGGCTGTAACATAGATAAAATCAATAAGTTCAAGTCTGACATGGAGAAGAATTTTAGTATGTTTGACTTAGGCTTGATGAACTATTTTCTTGTGATGCAAATATGCTAAACAAGTAAAGGCATTTTTGTGTCACGAGGAAATTACATAAGAGATATCTTGGTCAAATTTCACATGAGCAGCTGCAAGTCTATTTCCACTTCACTTGTAGACAATGAAAAGTTGACTGCAAATGATGGATGCAAACTCAAGGATGCTACTTGCTATAGAAGTCTAATTGGAAGTTTACTCTACCTCTGTTCAACTCGACCTGAGTTAATGTATTCAGTTAGCCTTCTATCTAGGTTCATGAGAGAGCCCTCTGACATTCATTTTGATGCAGCTAAACGCATTCTCAGATATCTGAATGGCAGCATTCATCATGGTCTGTTTTTTGGAAGATTGAATGAGATTAATCTATTTGGATATTCAGACAATGACTGGGCAGGGAGTGCTGATGACTCCAAAAGCACATATGGTTATATTTTCTCCTTAGGCAATGGAACTATCTCCTGGAATTCACACAAGCAAGCTGTGACTGCACAATCATCAGCTGAGGCAGAGTATATAGCAGCCGATGCTACTACTAATCAAGCTATTTAGTTGAGGAAGATACTGAAGGACTTAAGGTTTATACAGAAATCTCTTACAAGTATTTTTATTGATAGCAAGTTTGCAATAGCTATCACAAAAAACCCTGTGTTTCATGGCAAAACTAAATACATAAAAGTTAAGTTCCATGCAATCTAAGAAGCTGAAAGAAGTGGGGATATTATTCTTGGATATTGTTATTCTCTGAATCAATTAGCAGACATCATGACTAAGACTCTGCCTAAGTCCAGATTTAAAACTTTAAGAACTAAACTGAATGTTGTCAATGCAGACTTTAAGGAAGAGTGTTAGAGATAAAGCATGCATTGACTGAACATACATTCATGTTATCTTTTGTGTTACTATGTATTTTTCTTTGTTGTACTGGTTATTAAGTGAATTATACCAGCTGTCATGAGGTGTCTTTATGCATGTTAAGGTGGACAACACTTGTCCATTTTGTAAACAAGTGTTAATTATATGATGCTTGTATATATGCCAAGTTTGTTGACTAATGAAGTATCTTTCTCCATCTGCTGCTTTGTTTTTTTCTTCTGCTCCTCTTCAATACAGACACCACCATTGCTTTTTCATTTTCTTTTACTTTCATATCACATGCATCCTTTCCAGTTGATTCATTTTCTAGGAATATTTTCCATTATGGTAGATAGTTAACATGAATAGAAGAATATATAAACATTTAAGATAGGAGAAAGAACTGTAAGAAAATATTTCTCCCTTTCATTTTTATTGTGTAACTTTGCTCATTTGGTTGAATTGTTTCTTGTAGCAGCCAATTCCAAACTCTTCCGGAAATATATTGGCGTGGAATCTGACTCGATCAAGCTGTTTGTTGTGCTTATAAACTCAAGTGTTGAATTTCACTTCATTCTGGCCTTTGCAGTTGACTATACATATGACAGTCATCCATCACCTACTAATGGAGAGTTCAACATATTTTGGGAAACTGACAACTTAAGTCCAGGTCAAATTGCCTCAATAAAGGATAGCAACTCAATGTAAAGATTGCTGTCAGCTTG